GTAATCTGTGGTCGCTCCGTTTTACATAGACGACCATTTACTATAACGAACAGAATGTTTAAAAAAAAACAACCAATGCGGGGATTTTTGGATTTACTCTAGCGCGGCAGAATAACATAAGGGGGCACCCTTGCACCTTGTGAAGTACTCCCATAATTCCTGAGCACCCTATGTAGGGTCGAACTAACTAACTAAATTAATTCCCTTGTTTCATTAATGTTCGTTCGTTATAGTACGTGTACATATTTTACTTAAAATAACTAAAGACCCCCGGGATGGAATTTGATGCGCTTTGGCACAGATGATCTTGTCTATAATACCTTTCAAACAAATGTAGTTTAAGCCGTGGCGGACGTGGATGCAGCGTCCATACATTTTTGCCCAATGTCCTTTAATAACAACAAAAAAATATTACAATAAATTATAAGCATTCTACCTATCGCGCACGACGCCACAGCGCGGCCCGATAACACCTAGCTGACACGTAAAGGACAACTTATATGACTGAAATCATTTAATTTCTAGTAGCTCATTCTTTTCGCATTACAAAAGAAAGCATATCGACCGAAAATGTCGAGCGTTAAATTCTTAATTAGCGAGAAATCGACGAATCAGTAGAAAACATGAAAACTTATTTTTATGGCAATTTAAAATATTTTTAGCATTCTAACTGCAATAATAAGTAACTACACGACGAGCGCATCACTCTACAGCAAATAAAATTTTGAAAAAATAAATATTACGAACAATTTTTTTTTTTATTTTTTTCATTTTTTTTGCCTAAACAGCAGGACACAGCATTCCTAAACTTTGTCAAACCAGTTTATTATATAGTCATAATTTTTATATTGTTTGCATTTGTAATGGAAAGTGACTTTATGAGTTACCTCATATTGAAGTCATTTTTCAATTTGACGGTCCCTTAGCCGCCATTAATCGGATCTTTGTTTAGAATTTAATTCCTTCGACACGAAATTGTAAGTAATCTGTTATAGTTTGACTACTTTCATTAATTTTGAACTGTTTTCAATTTAGATCATGAGGAAATCTATACTAATATTATAAAGCTGCAGAGTTTGTTTGTTTGAACGCGCTAATCTCTGGAACTACTGGTCCGATTTGAATGATTCTTTCAGTGTTGGGTAGTCCATTTATCGAGGAAGGCTATAGGTTATATTTTTATTTTCAAAATTAGGGATCCGTAATAAAATTGCTATTTTGTAATACAAGGTGTAAAATCGAAAACCTATTTTTGCGTGCGCTGCAAAAACTATTGACAATAGAACAAAATGATGTACTACGGGTTTGTAGATCTCATTAAGACCCTCAAAAAAGTCCGCGAGAACATATATCTAGCTATCATGGTTTAATCACAATAACCGATTTTGTGTTCAAAATAATTATTAAATCGTCTGAAGAAAAAAAAACTACGTTAAATATGTATCGTAATATTAAAAACACAAACAATCCTTAATTTTCACCCCTCTACCACCCATAGTTTTATGGCGATACGAAGTTCGCTGGGTCAGCTAGTTAAATATAAAGGTCGAATACCGGAACATAATTATAACGTATCGTTAGTACGAGTATATTATCAATTATATGTGCCTCTTTTCTAGGGCTAATTACAGGTATTGTAACAAACGTAAGTATTAATTTTACTTAGAAACACAAACCATAGTGTTCCTTAACGTTCATGAAACGCGACAACTAAACACACCAAAAATATAGACCCACTAGCTGACCCAGCGAACTTCGTATCGCCATAAAAATATGGGTGGTAGAGGGGTGAAAATTAAGGGTTGTTTGTGTTTTTAATATAACGATACATATTTAACGAAGTTTTTTTTTCTTCAGACGATTTAATAATTATTTTGAACACAAAATCGGTTATTGTGATTAAACCATGATAGCTAGATATATGTTCTCACGGACTTTTTTGTAGGTCTTAATAGGATCTACAAACCCGTAGTACATCATTTTGTTCTATTGTCAATAGTTTTTGCAGCGCACGCAAAAATAGGTTTTCGATTTTACACCTTATGTTACAAAATAGCAATTTTATTACTGATCCCTGATTTTGAAAAAAAAAAAATATAGCCTATAGTCTTCCTCGATAAATGGACTACCCAACACGAATCATTCAAATCGGACCAGTAGTTCCAGAGATTAGCGCGTTCAAACAAACAAACTCTGCAGCTTTATAATATTAGTATAGATTAACACCAAAATGTTAACCAAAGCTCAGATACGGATATAAATCACATATACACAAAGTAAAAATAGTTTGGATATATTATAACTGTCTTACGTCACGTCTACCTTGGCCTTTTCTTGTATATGACTGGTAAAACCCTCTTGGCAATATTGGATGCAAATATCATAAAGACATTTAAATTATTTATGGCTTGGACTAGCCCATTCAGCTGATCCCTCAAATCTATTTAGAGATAACCATAGTTTTGGAATGAAGTTAAAGAAGCCATCGTAAACATCTCGGAGTCACCATGATGCATGTCGTGGGACAATCCCAGGATTGTGCGCAAGTGAGTATCATCACTTCCAAAAGATAAACGTGTTACAGAGCTTAAGTAAGAAAGAAAGAAATAAATTTTATTGACCATAAACAGTATTGTTAACATAAATTAAAACAATAAAAAAAATTTTTTTCGCCAACTAGGTCCCTGCCTCAGTTTGATACTACAGCAACACCAGGGCTGCTGCAGCGCTGATGATTCTGGCAGGGCCTAAGGTTTGGAAGACAAGTCAAGACTACATTTGCATAAAAACAATTTATGGCAGATGCACAGGTTAATAGTCAGGCTGGGTTCCACCAAGAAAAAGGAGGACCGAGACGGTCTCGGTGTTTTGTTAAAGCTGTTTTTTTGCAAATAGCACCTTTTCTTCACGATTACTTCGATCTTCAAACACTCCATTAATTGCACGATAAGAAGATCTCTTTATAAGGTAGCTTAGTACTTCAAGTATTTGGGCCCAATGGCCCGACAAGTTGTCAGTGACCCAATAGTCACCGACAACTTGTCGGACTCAGTAGATATGGAAAGGGAACGTAAGGCGTTGTGTGTCCGCTGTAACATGTTGGCCCGTAGATTTCCACAGTGTAGTAAACGAGTCAAACTGACGCTTTTTAATGCTTATTGTCCTTCGTTCTACACGTGCGGTCTTTGGGTGAACTTTACGCAGCTGGCTGACCGATGGGACTCCCCACTATTGCGACACTGGCTTAAGCTACATTCGCCAATCTATCATTATAATTATCTATAAATAACAGACGAGTCCCATCGGAATCCGAATGTGTTATATTGTTAATTGTTGTATTTGTGTTCGATTGTACTTTTTTAACTAACACTAGAATAAGATTTCTTCTGTTACTGACACTTATATATGGATTTAAAGTCTGAAATAAATGTTTATTATTATTAGTAGTAGAACAAGGGGATAAAGAATCGCTGCATTTTTTAAGTTGTTACGCCTAATGATTCGAGCGCTCATAGATGTGTATTTAATTTGTCATACAAAGCGCATAATTCTGAGCCTTCCATATTAATTGGAATTATTGGATGTCGCGCTCGGCAACCGTTGGAAGCACACGTTTACGCAGTGTATTATAGAAATTATATAAACTAGCGACACAACTCTCGAGTTTATTGTTAATAGCACTTAAGAACTACAATCGAGTGCAGTATAAGTAAAAAGTGGACAATATTTGGCGGCAAAGGTGCGCGACGATAGTGGGGATCGCAAGGGACAACAGCAGTGAGAGGGCGGGCGGGGGGTATGTAACTTAGTTTTACTTAACTACCACCACTAACTTAGTTTTACTTAACTCTTGCCACCGATGTAATCGCACTAATTGACTCTCGCATTCAAGCTGATGTAATCTATGCTGATTTTTCAAAAGCCTTTGATAAGGTTGACCACAGCATACTCCTTAAAAAGCTAGAACACTACGGCTTTGCTGGCAACCTTCTAAATTGGTGTGGATCATACCTACAATCCCGCACGGGCAAAGTGCTGATGGATGTCTATTGCTCCCTACCCTATAATATCCCCTCTGGGGTAGCTCAAGGCTCTAATATTAGTCCTATCTTTTTTAACCTCTTCATAAACGATATTTCATTATGTTTTAAATATATCTATGCTATCTATATGCTGATGACTTGAAAATAATGAAGGGCATACAACCAGCCAGAGGACTGTCACCTTCTTCAAGATGATCTCAATCGTTTAAGTCAGTAGTTTGGCAACAATCGTATGTCACTTAATATTGTTTCTGATCTTCCTCGCATGCTATTATATTAATTGTAATAATAATTCTTTAGATCATCCGCGCAGCAGGGTGCCGCCTCCGGTGCGAAAAACTCACTCTCATTATTACGCAACGTTCACAGTCCAACCTTCACTAATTCTAATTCCTATTTCATATGCGCCATGTCACGGGTCTTTATATGTGAAATAATAAAGTCATATATAGTAGGAACACTGTAGTTTTATGCCTCACTGAACACGGGATATTACACAACCTTTATACAACTTATCCTAGATACAAAAATGTATACGTGTAGTAAATGCTTAGTTGACAATAGGGATGATGTCTTTTTTTTCTACGTTTATCAGGTAGATTGTCAAAAAGTATTGGACACGTATTTTTTCTTGTTTCACATAATATAAACATATATTGATTTGAAAAGTCGCATGAAGTCACGTTTGAGTACACTTTTAAGTGAAAATTCAGTAAAAAGTGACGTCACAAGTCCCTACTCCCAAACTTTGACGCGCTATAACTTTGTCATTTTTTGGTTGATTGTCCATAGAAAAAATACGTGTCCATTATTTTTTGATCATCTAACTGACGGACTAAATAGAAATTCGTTTACTGTACCCCGTCATCACCCCTATACCGCGTCCCTACAACGTTTTCTTTGGATTTTGGAATAAAATAAAGTTCACCCCTGTATAGGTAATATGTAAAAGGATACGTGCTGACTCCACCTATCGGCCAGCGCTTTTATAAACGCTCGCAAGCCGGTCCGCAGCGGCAGCGAGACGTGCGCGCGCGGGTTGTGCGCGGCGGCTTGAACGCGCGCCCAGGCGCAAGAATCGCGCGCGCGCAACCATACGCCCGCGCGGGAACAAACGCGCGCGCCGCACGCGCGTTCTAACCGATCAATCGTTTATTTTAGACACAAGCGAGTAGGGATGTCGAAAGTTGAAAAAAATATCGATATATCGATACATATATCTTTTAAAAAATATCAATATCGGCTTCGATATATCGCGAAAAAAACATCGATATATCGGATCAATTTTCCCAAAAATACCGTACAGTAGCTTACGAAATGTGACACGCGGAATAATAATGGAACGAAAATTATCTCCCTAAAAATAGACCCTATTTTCGAATGATGACATAGACAATACTAAAGACAGCACAGATCATAGATATGTTTTAATATCATTAATCTGAGATCCAGTTACGATTTTTTCAGATACGAATTTAGTTAGATCGTGATATGCCGCTTATTATTAAAAAAATATCGTTTTTGATACGAATTTCGATATTGGTTATTTTATATCGATGTATCGATATATCGAATCAAAATATATCGGCAAAAAATATCGATATATCGATACATCGATATATTTTCAACAAGCCTACAAGCAAGCGCACATTGAGCCACTAGTGGCGGCCACTAGACGCGGCCACTAGTGGCTCAGTTAAGCAATCGCCGCCGCTAGTGGCTTAGTGGCGGCCACTCTAACGCTTCGTTTGCAATAATAAATATACAAAATGTATGAATAAACTCGAATGCAGATTGTGGAACGCAGATCGTGTCAGTTCCTTATGGCGACAGAACTATAGTTTACTTTCGGAATCTATTTTTACTAGATCGAAAGTGTACTTTGTTCTGGTAACTTAAGGAACTGACATGACTTTTCAGGGTCGCATTCTTTCGTTGGCCATATACATACATACAAATCACATAGTTAAATTCTCTGCAAGGATACGACAAATGGACGTCAACTTAAACATCTACATTTTACTGACTCCCTAAATCTGGGGGCAAAACCCCTAAGTTGGGAACCGTGGGCCTCAGACTAAAAGTTCGGCGGCTGTAACCCTAGTTTTTTTTTTATGTTATAGGGGGCATACGAGCAGACGGCTCACCTGATGGTAAGTGATCACCGCCGCCCATGGACACTTGCAACACCAGGAGTATCACAAATGCGATGCCGGCCTTTAAGGAAGAAGTACGCTCTTTTTGAAGGTTTTTGGGTCGTATCGGTCCGGAAACACTTAGAGGTGTAAAAGTAACGAAAAAAAGCGTACCCGTATGTATTCGTTACTTTAACAATAAGTACTCGTTACTATAGTATCGTTACTCGTTACTTCTCATAAAAAATCGGTTTTACTATTTTGAAATTTTTAACCGTGAGCTTATGTTATATCACAATAACATTGCAATCCATTATTCATCAATTATAATGATAAAGCAACAAATAGGTGTCGAAAATTATTGTATTGATAATAATACTTAAATAGCATTCTAACGATGAATCAACATAAAAATAGTTTTGCTTAGAATGAAATTAAACGTAACGAAAGAAAAAACTACTACGAAAATCTTTTATTCTCAAAATAAAATTATAAAAACTATATAAAATTACGAAATCTATCAAGTTGGCTTTTTCGATAAGCTACTGTGAGGTAGTCAACACGACAATAAAATTCTCACGTCCACTTGACCGGAATAGCGTATATTTTAACAATTCCACTAATTCCTCAGTTACGCAGACGGTTGTAACACAAAATCACACCAATTTTATTTCACAATATCCACTATGAACGAATTAAAGAATAATTAAAATAAGACGCCAACCTCACTCGACGAAATCCCGCCAAAAACTCCAACGTACGTTTTTAAATTCTCCAAATATGCTCGCACATGCTTAATACATACGATCAGCAAATGCTTCTATACACACATCAACTGTACTTGCGTAAACTGAAACATATAGATCATCTACATCATACTACGAAAAATGCGAGTAACGAAATTTATTTGTGTGTAACGTTTCGTTACTCGGTACTAGATGGCGTACCCGTTACTCAGTACCGAATACATACGGTTTGCTACAGCTCTAGAAACACTGCTGGCGACAACATATTCCACAGTTTTGTCGTGTTTTATAATACAACGCACTCACCCGCTATCTGGTTGAGTTTGCGCAGGGCGCGGCACGCGGGCGTTCGCACGCGAACGTTCCGACCGCGCGCGCGCACCACTATGCTGCCGTCGCGCACCATGTCGCTGAGGCGCGCGCAAGTCTTCTCACTAACTGAGGCGAGCTTCTTGCGCAACTCGCCATAGTTTATGAGCGCGTATAGCTCTTGAGCGACTTTCTTTACATCTGGAACATTATTTATTTATTTATATATTCTGTACATCATCATCAGCCTATTAATGTCCCCACTGCTGGGGCACAGGCCTACCCTATGGATGGAATAGGGAGATTAGGCCATGACCCACCACGCGGGCCCAGTGCGGATTAGTAGGTGCTAACGACTGCAGATGCAGCCGGGACCAACGGCTTAACGTGCCTTCCGAAGCACAGAGGAGCTCGAGATAGTAAATTTTCGGTCACCCATCCAATGACCGACCATTGCGAAAGTTGCTTAAATTCAACGATCGCAGCGGAACGCGCTAACCACTTGCGCCATCGAGCTCCTCATATATTCTGTACACACAAAAATAATATAGGAGCAACTTAATTAAAGATAATATGTACAAGGGCACAACTTATTTGAATCTGAAATTTCTTACAGTAGGCCCGTAGTAGGAAAGAAAATAGGTAAAAATAGTCAGCGTGTACACCTGAATATAAAATTGATGACAATAGATAAATAAATACATACATACATATAATATGGACGACGAGAAGAGAAACAATGAGAAGATCAAGGGCAAAGTTAAGAGCAAGAAGATAAATAGTGTTCCTTCAGATGTTTTCTGAACACTGAGACAGAACTAGAATCTCTAATTTCTGCTGGCAGCGAATTCCACAGACGGACGGCGTGTACTGTAAAAGGAATAGGATGGGAAACTAGTGTTATGGGTGGGACATTTTAGAAGAGATTTGAGGTGGGATCTGCAAGGATCTGTTGAAGGGTGAATGAAGGAAAACCGTTCACGGAGGTAGGGTGGATACTGTGGATTATAGAGGATATTGTAAAGGAGACAAAGTATTCTAACATTCCTGCGCAGATGAATGGGAAGCCACTTGAGTTCCTTACGAAAACTTAGAGACATGGTCAAACTTGCGTAGATTGTAATTATAATATTTCTCACACTCACACCAATTAGCCTAGCCCCAAAGTTAGCACTATAAGGCTTGTGTTATGGGATACTAGGGTAACGGATATAATAGATCAAAAAATCAAAATAGAAAAACAAAAATACTTTATTTCTATAACCAATATTATGCTAGTGATACAATATTTGAGAGTCCCTAGTAGACAAGTTTATTTGCCTGTGTCAGGAACTCTCGCTCTTCCATAACTTTTTCAAACTTAATACCACATTGGTTACAAATATATAATGATTTTTACATTTTGTATGTTTAGTCTAAAGTGTTCAATATATCTGTTATATTTGTGTGTGGGTGTGAGTGAGTGAGTGTGTGTGAGCGCGCGTGTGTGTGTGTGTGTGTTTGATTATTACAAATTTTGAAGCAAGTTTTCAGTATCATTATAGTTCTTAGTTTTTAACCAAGTAAGTATTTTTTTTTACAATCATACATATTTAGATTAGATATACCTAGCTTTTTATTTATTTCGTTGTAAAATTTACAACTCTGTATATCGAATTGCCACCCAGCAAAGGCTGTGTTATGCTGAGAGATTTTTATGCATTTTCTTCTTCTCTGAGTTAGCTTAGGTTCATAAGGCAAGTATTTATGGCGTTTTAAGATTGCAATCAGTATGTAAAGTTGACGCACAGTCGGTAAATTGGCTATTTTATAAAGTTCATTTGTCGAAAATAGATATATCAGTATAAATATATAGAAATACTAGCTGATCCAGCGAACTTCGTACCGCCATAAAAAAATTAATTAAAAAACATTGTCCAGCTGACAAAATTGTGAATCTAAACCATTCTCAGATCCCCTTGAACACACACAAAAAATTTCATCAAAATCGGTCCAGTCGTTTAAGAGAAGTTCAGTGACATACACACTCACAGAAGAATAATATATATAAAGATAAACATCCATGACTAAGTAAGAAATGCTTGTATTCATCTTATAAACATTTGCCACCAACGGGATTCGAACCTTCACGAGTAGGTGACACCATGAAACCTGGCGTGGGCGTGTATACCATTCGGACACGGAGAACTTAAAAATATTTATGTACCACCCACCACTTGTCCACCCTGCACCCACCCAAGGACGGATCCGGGGGGGGGGGGTCATGGGGGTCATGACCCCCCCTGGGCTGGGTACAGATGGACCAAACCCAGGGGGATTTTATTTAAGTACTTTCAATATTTATATACCACGACTATATGACCCCCCCTGGCACCAAAGCTGGCTATATGACCCCCCCCCCCCCCCCCCCTGGCGCCAAAGCTGGATCCGCCCTTGCACCCACCGCGATGCGAGTCATGGGTGTCATGGCCCAATCTCCCTATACTATAAAAAAACTAGCTGTCCCAGCGAACTTCGTACCGCCATAAAAGAATAGGGATTGGTGGTAGAAGGGTGAAAATTTAGAGTTGTATGTATTTTTGTATGATGTATCATACAAAAATTAAAAAAAAATCTATAATTAAAAAAAAAATTAGGGGTGGATTACCCTTAACATTTAGGGGGATGAAAAATAGATGTTGTCCGATTCTCAGACCTATCCAATATGCACACAAAATTTCATGAGAATCGGGAAAGCCGTTTCGGAGGAGTTTAACCACAAACACCGCGACACGAGAATTTTATATATTAGATATCTTACCCACCAATCCGCACAAGAGCCGCGTGGTGGGTCATGACCCGATCTGTTATTCTGTGTCTTTTTGTATCGACAATATCATCCATTGAAGACTAGTAGCGCCCTCTGGTATAGAATATGTCAACTGTATGTTTTATCTGAATAAAGTCAGTTCTTGTTGGTTACCCACGCGTTTAATTTATAAGAGGTTATGTGCTCAGTTTTTTTAATTTTTTCTCGCAATTTACTTGAAAATTCCTAGTGGAAATAGATTTTGCAGATTGAGAAAAACTGTAATTAACGCTGTGACTGTAAAAATGACCACGAACTACCTAGTCAGTGTGCCTAAATTGAAAGGGCGAGAGAACTATAGTGAGTGGGCTTTTGCGGCTGAGAATTTCCTAGTTCTGGAGGGAATGTCTGATTGCATCAAGTTGGAGACTGTACCAGCAGAAATAGGAGCAGCAAGTGACGCGAAAACAAGAGCCAAGTTAATTCTGACAATAGATTCGTCGCTGTACGTACATATAAAGAGTGTACAAACGACCTATGAACTGTGGAAGAAATTGAAGAGCCTATTTGATGATTCAGGTTTTACGAGGAGAATCAGTTTACTGAGGAGTTTGATTTCCATACGACTCGAAAATAGCGTTTCAATGACTTCATACGTGACACAAATCATCGAAACGAGCCAAAAATTAAGTGGTACCGGTTTCAACATTAATGATGAGTGGGTAGCATCGCTTTTGTTAGCGGGATTAACAGAAAAATATTCTCCTATGATAATGGCGATCGAGCATTGCGGCATACCATTGACAGCGGACGCCATTAAAACCAAGTTGTTGGACATGGACGAAAGCGGAAACGAAGGCAACAATAGTGCTTTCAATTCCAATGGCGCGTTTGCGAGTTTCAAGAAGAACCGGAATGTTGGTAACACTGCGACCAAAGACAACGCCCAAATGTCAAAATCAAAACCAAAAGTTATAACATGCTACAAATGTAAACAAACAGGGCATTACCGCAACCAGTGTGCAGTTGTGAATAAAAATTCGTCGAATATAAATAAAAATGAACGTACAAGCAGTAATGCGTTTAGCGCAGTGTTCCTGAATGGTGAATTTTGCAAAAGTGATTGGTATATTGACTCCGGGGCGAGTGTTCATCTTACCGCGAATGAAGAATGGCTGTCAAATGTGTCGCGGGATCATATTATCAAGAATATTGTCGTGGCAAACAAAGATAAAATACCTGTTTTATGTACTGGAGATGTGCAGATTACGACAAAGACGCGAGACTGTGAATACGATATTACAGTACAAGGTGTATTATGCGTGCCGAAGTTGACTACAAATCTATTGTCTGTTAGTCAACTTATATCGAAAGGAAACAAAGTTTCATTTAACAATTGTGGTTGTCAGATTTTCAACCAAGCAGGAGTACTGGTGGCTACAGCGAATCTGTTGAATGGGGTGTATAAACTGAATATGCCTGAATATTGTTCATCAGCTGCAGTGATGGTGTCCAGTGAAGTTTGGCATCGACGTCTAGGTCATGTCAACAGCCAATATTTGAACAAGATGCAAGATGCTGTACAGGGATTGACACTTGATAACAAGACTGACTTAACAAAGTCATCATGTGTCGCATGCTGTGAGGGCAAGCAGAGCCGCCTACCTTTTCCCAAAGAAGGTAACAGAAGTACTGAATTGCTACAAATTGTGCATACCGATCTATGCGGACCAATGGAAAACCGATCTATAGGTGGTTCTAGATACTTTAAGCTGTTCATAGATGATTTTAGTCGTATGACATATATTTATTTTTTGAAAGCAAAAGATGAGGCACTGAAATGCTTTCAACAGTATAGAGCAGAGGTTGAGAATCAACTTAATCGCCGCATAAAGATCTTGAGAAGTGACAATGGGACAGAATTCTGCAACAGTAGGTTTGATGATTTTTTGATGTTGCATGGGATAGTACATCACAAAACAAACCCATACACACCTGAGCAGAATGGTCTCTCAGAACGATACAACCGGACTATCGTTGAGAAAGCCAAGTGTCTACTGTTCGATGCAGGTCTTGCGAAAAATTTTTGGGCAGAGGCGGCACACACTGCAGTGTATTTACAGAACAGGACTGTGACCCCATCATTAAATTATAAAACACCTTTTGAGATATGGACAGGCAGAAAGCCTGATGTAAGTCATTTACGTGTTTTTGGTAGTACAATCATGGTACATGTGCCAAAACAAAAGAGATTAAAGTGGGACAAAAAATCAGAAAAATGTATCCTTGTTGGCTATTCCAATGATGTCAAAGGATACAGGATTTACAACCCAAAGTCTAATATCATCACCACCAGTCGAGATGTTATAGTATTGGAGAAGGTAGAGACAGAAAATGTTCTGGAGGTACAGGA